ATGGATCATAATAATTCCTATCTTATTACTTTTATAATCATATCTGCATTATTCTTATAAATATCTATTTAAAACTTTTTTTAACTAAAATTTTGTCTTAATAATCTGATTTAAGAAACTTTCAACACCTCTCAGTCACAAAAAAAAATTCTATAAGATATTTATCTTTTTTAAATTCTTCCCTCTCTTTTTAACTTTTTAATATCAATTACTTTTTCTTTTTCTCTATTCAAGCTCTCAAGGATAACATTATTATTATTAAAACCAAAGTTATTTTGTTTATTTCAAGTATAACCACAGTCAATATTTTTTTAATAATCCATGATATCATTTAATAATGTTTAGTCTTATTTATAATTGAAATTAGAAACAATCAAAACATCTTTTAACAGGTTTCTGATAGTTCAAGAAAAATGACAAAAATTAATTATGTATCTATAATTTCAAAAATTATCAATCTGAGTACTTACAATTAGTTCACTTTCAACTAGCCAAGTCCAAGTTTAAATCAATAATAAATAAAACTATATACTGAAATATTTTTTTACTATACTTTATTGAAAATCCCAAAATAAACAATATTAATCTGAGTAATAGTGCTATATAATTCAAAAAAATTTTAAGAATTACAAAAACCTATATAATCTGTAAAAGTTTATCTATAGCTAAAACCTTTCAAGAAACTTTAAATCCATATAAACTGGAATTTTTTATCAAATTTATCAAGCAAATCAGAAGCATATAAAACAACTCTTATAATGATCTTATATCTTTTAAATCAAACTTTTCTCAAAATACTTTCAACATAAATCTTTCTTAATTAACTTTATTCAAAACAATACTCAAACCATTTCTGCTCAAGATACAAACTTAAAATTAAAGACATCAAATATGTATTTGAGTATATCAAGACAGAAAATCAAGCAGCCCATATTATTAATACTATAAACAGCATCCTATATCCAAATCAAAGTAACAAAACAATTAATTACATCTGAAAAGTAGTCAAGTTGTTATATAATCTTCTTAACAAAATATACTTTTTAATAGATACTATTATCTGAATCAAAGTGGCTTTTAAAAGTCTTTTACTTCTTTATAATCTTATTTGAAAATCAAGATATAATATAACAAACATATTTTTTACTACTGGAATTAAGTGAAACCCTAATCTTTGCTAATTAAATAATAATAATAATAATAATAATAATAATAATAACAATGATACCAATTCAAAAAATCCAAATTAGAAAACATCAAATTTCAGGTTTAACTTAAACTCTTATAATGAACTAATTGTAGATTTTTTATCTTTAATTACAAATAAATTCATTAATAGTAATTACAATTAAAGATGAATTTATAAACTATTTAGTATATAAAATTTTGCAAATTAATTATATACCTTTTGAAGGAAGCATAATAATTTACTTATTATTTTAATAGAAACAAAACTTTAAAATACTTGAATTCAATAGTCTAAATTGCAAAAAACCTTTATAGGTAGTTTTTTTTTGTTGTTATATTAAAAAAAAAAAACTTTTTTAATAATAAGGAACATTTGGGTTATATCTTTGCTCTTAGTTTAAAAACTCATCTTTGATTATAATTCTACTTTATGTTATAAAAATTTAATAAATTTATCAGTAATCTTAAGTAGATATTCATAGCTGCTTAATATCATCTCAGATGTATAATAGTTTTAATATTTATTTTTCTTACTACTAAAATAATTTATATAGGCAAGCTAACATTAAACTTACTAATTTAACTAATTATATAATAGATACTATTATTTTTTCCATATATAAATTTCAAACAATTTTACAATTAATAAAGTAATAATGTTTATCTACTTAAAAAAAAAATTTAATATTAAAAAGTTAATTTATTGAATTTCAATAAAACTATTTTAAATAGTTTAAATTTTAAAAATAAAAAATTATCAAATCTATTTGCTTAAAATTGAATTTTTATAATATATTTTTTTAAATTATATTCTTAATAATTATTTTTTTTAAAGAGAATTGCCATACTTTTAAGAAATTTCAATTTAATATTTATTAAATTAATTTATAAACAGGATTTATATAAAAAACAATACTTATAATTTATAGATTTATAGTATAGTGATAATACTCCATAAGTTACTAGGAGAAGGTCTAGGGTTCATTCAAACCCACCTGGTTACAAAAATTTATTTCCTTCATGATTGATTGACTGGCTTTCAATTTATATCATATTCAATTAGCTGAAAATTAATTTTCAAATTTAGTTAGATTGCACGAAGATGAAACCTTTGGTTGTTTCAATAATCACAAGCTAAAAATAGGTCAAAACAAAAAAGGTTATATAAGGAAAGGCTTCTGGTCTAACTCTAATATAAGTCTACAAACTTTAATTCAAACAGGAAATAGCAGACTTCATCACACAATATAAAGAGGCTAATTCTAAGCTAATTTATTTCAATCTGAAGCTTGAAGATCTATTTTAAGAATAATGTTTTTTTGAATTTAAATGAATCAAAAAAGCAAAGGTTATTTGTTACAAGTAGTAACAATTCAAACAAAATTCATCAAGACCAAGTAAGTTTGGTGAGGATTATCAAGATTAAATTAGAATTCAAATAAGGATATCAATTTCATAGATGATAAAAATGGTAGTGATATGTTATGCTAGTGACACATTCTGAGAATCTAAAGATAACAATAACTGAAATATTGAGATTGATCTCTATAATAATATTTCATAATAATATTGCTTTCTGCAATAATAGACTTTGTAGGTTAAGTAGGTTTAAACTAGTGATAGGATGTTCTTCTTGTAAAAATCTTACCTGACATGTGGACACATCTTTGGGTATCTAAATAAATATATAGTTGAGTAAATAGTAGTTGACATAATTAGTCTAATAATAATTTAAGTTCTAAGCAATATTAATCTACAAATTAGTTGTAAAGACAAAAGAGTATTCATTGTATCAACCGATTTCTAGTTAATTTGTAAAGACACTTAGTGTTTATTGTGAGAGTGGTATAGCAAATTAGTTGTTAGCTGACAATAAAATTTGTAGAACAATGATATTAGATTTGGCCAAGATAAGTATTTTCTTTATTAAAATGTGATTCATAATCTTTTCTATTTACTAATTTTTATTTACTAATTTTTATTTATTTTCCAAGAACAAAATTGAAAAAAATTGAAAAAACAAAAAAAGATAAGAAAATTTAATACTTTTTTTTAGTAATGACATAAGTCAGTTACTAATTACATCATTATTACTCATATTTTCAGGTTACTACTAATCTTTATTTTTTTGATGCAATATCAGATCAATTATTAATCATGTAATTCAAACTGTATTACCCTCCATTTTTTTTCTCTTTCACACTATCTGAATATATAAACATATCAATAAAAATTATATATTATATATACATTCAACTATAAAAAAAAACAATACTTGAATAAATTATAATATTAGATATTTTCTTTATTTTTAAATAAGTTGTTTTAAATAGTAAACTGAAAATACTATTGGAATTTATGTTAATTTCTTAATAATAAAAAGTTAAGTGATATTTTTCATATAGCTAGAAAATACAGGTTAACAAAATATTATAACAATGTTAACATAACAAAACACAAATCATAAATGAAAATAAAGACCAATATTTATTACTTTTTCTTATCAACTTTACTTGTAATGCAGTATTCAATTTTTTGTTTATGTAAAATTGAATATTTTGTGACTAAACTTTATTCAACTATAATAAATAGCAATGATAATACTTCATTTAAAATAAAAAGCAAATAACCAATTCATAGTTAAAAAATTTTCAGATTAGATAAAGATTGTTAAGAAAGTATAAGAAGTTTGAATCAATTATAAATTAATATAGAAATTATAATAGTATACAAAATAGGTTTTTTTAAAAATAAATAGTTTTTTCTTTTTTGTAGTTTTACAATATATTTTGCAAGTTTTGAGAAGGTTTTTCTACAGATTATTGTAGATATCTATATGTAAACATGCACATCCATCTTTATTTTTACTTTTTATTTTTTATAGATCTAGTTAGAACCAATATAGTCTATAATTGACTATATTTAGATGGTTTTTTAAATTCCTGTTCATCAGATGGCAGATGGCAACTTAGAGGTGTAAATCCTAACAAATTAGTTTTTCACCTATACTATTAGAGCTCTGACATTAATAATATAAGGAGTATGAAGAACAACAAGCCAACTGATAAATAGTTTTTTATCTTAGATAATTTAAAAATAGATAAAGACATATTTTGTACTGAAAAATGCTCAATATAATATTTAATAAACAAGGTGTATATCAGTTATTAAAAAAATTTTTTGTATTTATAAATTATTATTTTCAAAAACTATATAAGCTTTACTATAGAAATTAATATTATAGAAAATTTTTTAGCAACTTATATAAAATCTAATTCAGTCTTTAATTATAGTACTTTAATAAAAATATAATTTAAAAAATATAACTTAAATTATAAAAAATCTTTATAAATAATTTCAACAAAAATAAACTTTACATATAAAATAAAAACAAATTTTGTTTTTCAACATTTACAAGATTAAAGATTAAATACGTAATTTCATTTACAATTGAATGAATAACAAATTTTTATTATTACTTTGTAGATATCAGAATTTAATGTTGAAGAACATTATTATTGTTCCGAAGTCCAAATACAATTTCCTTTTTGTTATTGTATTAAGTATTAAGTGTACAAATTCTTTTTCTTAAAGGATGTATGATAATGCTCATTTGATTATGATAGTATGATAGTTTATAATATTCTGACACATTATATGAAATACATTTAATACTTTTCAAAAGAAAGTAAAACAATGTATTACATAATTACGAATCTCTGAAACATTGCTGATTATTTAAACGAATGCATTAATGAATCTGATCGCGACCTCTTTACAAAGCTTTATTCGATTATTTTAGCATAATAAAAATGGAGCCATACAATCTTATATCCAATGACCTTGAAAATCTTCTTTACTACAAAGATAGGCAAATTTACCAACTTCAGCAAGAACTCATCCAATGTCAAAAAAGATGCATTGACTATCAAACCAAATTAATGAGTCTCACTTGTTCTAATCCAGATGAAGATTCATCTGATAATATTTCGAGTTTGGGATCTGTTATGGAGGCGAGCGACGTGGCCCTAAGGAATAACCCAAAATTTTCACACCAATCGTCAAAAGACTTGGGTTCTATTATAGAAACAAACGGGAACTTGAAGCATTCGGAAAAAATATCAAAAATAACCAACTTTTCAAGTAAAGAATATGTTGAAGATATTGATTTAGTTAGCACTGCACAGGCCGACGGTTTGTATTGATATTCATCAAACACGAAGCCCGAAATCAGATAGGAATTTAATAAGGAATTTTTTCTTTCTATTATCGGACTGTCAAGTGGGAAACCTCCGTGCTTGTCGCGCCTACATCTCAGGTGTGACTAGGGTTAGTCGTTGGAAACTAGAGGATGCACTTGAAGTCAAATTTGGAGACGTTTTGGATATTGATGTCATTCCCCGAAAGGTAAACCTAATTTCAACTCAAAGTTTATTATTTTACCGTCGCTCTGACGATTTTCGTTCTTCCAAAGTGTTGCGCATTCGTTCAATTTGCTAGCAAAGGTGCTTGCGATTTGGCAATCAGAGTAGGATTCGTCACTGTCCATGGAAGGATTTTAAAGATTGAAAAGTGTAAGAAATTTAGAACCAATTACTACAAAAAAAAACGATAAGAAAATTTTGTTCTATTAGGTTTTATGTTTTCATATAAAGATGAAATATTCCTTTATCAAAAAGTAATTTGTGTTGTTTGAGGAATTTTTGAAAATTTGTATTTTTTATATTTCAGGATCATGGATAGACGTTATCAGTCAAAGTTTACTCTGCTTCTAAAATCTGACGAGACGTTACAACTGATAATTTCTTCTGCTAAAATATGTTCAAAAGATAGATTTATTATTGAACTAACTACTATGTGTTTTGAAAATTCTATCTAACAATTTTATTTACTAAATACAATCACAACAATGTGATTTTTACATTCAATTTATTTTACATGATGAAACTTAATCTAACTAGCTTATTTTATTATTTAGGTTGTGACTTGTTACTATCTGTCAAGCAGGCCTAATGTATCAAGATTTTGTTAATAGTAATAGTAAGATGCTATAGGAATATACTGTATTTTAATAATAAGATGTTATAGAAATATATTGTTCTATATTAGATACGTTTTTGATATATCTTTACTTTTTTTTTTTTTGCTTGAATCTTTTTTTGTTTTTTTAAATATTATATTTTTTGTGGATAAATATTATTTATTTATTTATGACAATATACAGTCAAACCTGGATATAATGAACCTGTTTATAACAAAGCTATAATAAAATACTGGTTATAATGAATTTTTGAATTTTGAATTTACTCAAAATTCATTATAAAAAGAGAATTTTATTATATAAATTTTT